TAAACACATTGAGATTGATTGTCACTTCGTCAGAGAAAAGATACTCTCAGGAGATATTACTACGAAGTTTGTGAGATCGAATGATCAACTTGCAGATATTTTCACCAAGTCCCTCGCTAGTCCTCGCATTGATTATATATGTAACAAGCTCGGTACATATGATTTATATGCTCCGGCTTGAGGGGGAGTGTTAGAGATAGCTATGTAATTGTCCCACATTGGAATAGGAGTAGTATCCCCTTTGTATAGAGTAGTTATAAATAGCACCTCTTGTATTGCATCACATACAATATCAATATATCATATTTTCTCCCGTGCCTTCTCACAACTTCAAATCTACTTCAAAGCACAGTATTAGATCTCCTGGTAGTGCTTCAGATAACTTTACTTCACTAATCTTTCAATTTCGGTTTTGCCATTTCCTCCTATCTCTACTTCTTATGAAGCTTCAGCCCATAGAATTCGTAATGTTTGAGACAATGGAATACGCGCACTATAAGATAGGTTGTTAATCCAATGGAGAGAAGTGATAAAGAGATAAATAGAAGAAAGCTCAAAAATGCATCAGGAAAATACCTTGCATCCGCAAGAGAACTGAACATATATTGGAGTAAATTTTTCGCATCCCCCATTGAACGTAGCTGGTTCCAACGTCCACGGTTGCTGAAGGCACGGTCTCGTTCTTCTGCTTCCGAAAGTTGTGAAGACATGGCAACTAGAGAGTTGGATGAAATGCTAAGCATATTCCCAAGAGAAGCAATTCTTGCCATTCTTGCATTAGGTGACATTGACCATGCCCTGAACAGATGACAGTGAATAGGATAATCCAGGTGACATGCAAGGTACATTTGTCCAGTAGTGCTGAATCCATTATCAGCTGAAGAGAAGGATGAGTTTAGTATACGTACCTAGAAAGACCCTTTTTTCCCTTAGGAGAGATCAGTCCTTTTGAAGCAAATTCATTAACTTGTCTCAAAATAGCTAGCTCTTCTTCCAATGCAGCTCGTCTGGAATAGAGAGAAAGCAATGAATAAACATAAAACTGGGGAAAAGATTATAATATAACTATAAACAGAAAACAAGTAGATTAACGAAAACCAAATATAATTACTTACACTTGACTTTGCTTTTCATACTCATGCCGAACCTCGTGAACATTCACCATAATCTCAAGCTCGTGATCAAGCCAACGTTGCAATGATTTCTCATAACTCTGAATGTAATAAGAACTTCTCTAAATGATTTGATCAAATAGATCAAGAAAAAAATTCATTAAAGCAGAAAAGAGAACAGAGATTATTACCTGTCCATTTGTTCCATTTTCTTTGCCAGTCGCTGCATTTAAATAGATTATTAAGTTTTCTTTTTCTCGATAAATTCATCGTTAGTAAGTAGAATAAGTTATACTTGTAAAATAAAGCTTTCTAGAAAATGGGACCTATTCAGTGAGCCAAGTGTTTGATACTTTATAATCTTCATAGGAACACAGACACCAGTAACTTACAACAAAGACATCCTATTAAAGCTTAAGTGCAGACCTGAGTTTTCACGAGCTGAAGATTTACGTGCTTCTAGCAACTCCTTCAATCTCTTGGTTGACGTTGCAGCCTCCTCTGTCTTTCGTTGGAGAACCTGATGTAAATTCAAGAACTCATTAACACATGTATTGACTCTGATCGTTGTCTAACTTACATTTGTTGATAGGGTGCGTATTTCAGTACAGTTGAGAGAATCAGAATTTACTGCTACGAGCTAGATTGAAGCTGCTTCCATGGTGGAAGTGAGCTTGATAAGTAATGGAGAATGCATAAGTTGCTTACAGAGTGTTACAGAATGTACATAGACACAAATTGATATAGTATACATAGCACAATCATAGGTAGAGATATTTAGGGATTTTCTGATTTTGTTTCCTTAGATAGAATTACTGGTAAACCTACAAATAGCTCTCATTCTTGGAATAATACTATAAGGAGATTGCTCCACTGCCTTTGTATTTAACATGGTATCAGAGCCGAGCTTGTAGCTCGCCGGAATTTGTCCGCTGCCTAGCCGGAGATTGTCTGCCGCCTTGCAGGAATTTGTTCACTGCCACGCCAAAATTTCTGCCAACTTTTGAAGTAACAATCACAGCCTATCTAGGGGGAATCGCCTCCCTCCGATCTGAAGAAACCCACCGGATTCTAAGCTCTTGAAGTTCACGCGCTACTGATAACTTTCTGGCAGAATTTCGTCGGCAAGCACGTGGAGTCAAATTTTCTGTCCAGCTGATTTCGTTGGTTAAACCTGGTTAGACCATTCCTTTCTGCTTCCTTTCTTTGACTAGTTCTCTGATTTGGTAAGTGCAGTTGTTTGGAGAGTTTCCTTTTGGATCAGACAACTTCTCTGATTTGTTGGAACATTTTTTTGGGTCTGATTAGTATCAGGAGACATACTCTTGAGTCTAAAGGTTTCAAGTTGAGCAGGACGAAGACGGAATACCTCGAGTGCAAATTTGGAGTTGAGCCGACGGAAGCGGGAGTTGAAGTGAGGCTTGACTCTCAAGTCATTCCCAAGAGGGGTAGTTTCAAGTACCTTGGATCGGTTATCCAGGGGATCGGGGAGATTGACGAGGATGTCACACATCGTATNTTGTGGGATTATACTGGGTTATTGTTGTTGTTGTTGTATTAGTATCTGAGTAATTGACAGGTTGTATTCGGGTGTGATTCCTTCTTTTTTTTTGTCAAATGGGTTCTCTGTTTCAAGTGTTGTTGGAACTCATATTGGGGTCTCAAATCTGTTAAGAAGCACTTATTTGTGTGGGGTTTGTTGCTTTCTTTAATTGTTTTGATATTAACTGTACTATTAGTAGAAGAAAATTATGACTGAAACTACAGCGCCGAGTCAGTTTTCTGATAAATTAGTTCAAGTTTCAATGGATGAGTATGCTAAATTCTCATCCATTGAAACCACAACATCGAAACTACAGATTTTGTACGGTGTCCCTATTGAGGTCTATACCGACCACCAGAGTCTACAACATCTGATCTTAACTTGCGTCAGTGAAGATGGTTAGAGTTGCTTAAGGACTATGATATCACCATTCTATATCATCCCGGGAAGGCTAATGTGGTAGCCGATGTATTGAGTCGAAAGGCGGAGAGCTTGGGCAGTGTAGCATATCAACCGGCAGTGGAGAGGCCATTAGCATTGGATGTTCGGGCCTTGGCCAACAAGTTTGTCAGATTGGATGTTTCGGAGCCGAGTCGAGTGTTGGCTTGTGGTTTCTCGGTCTTCCTATATGATCGTATCAGATAGCGTCAGTATGACGACCTCCATTTGCTTGTCCTCAAGGACGTGGTTCAGCACGGCGATGCCAAGAAGGTCACTATCGGGGATGACGGTGTGTTACGGATGCAGGGCAGGATATGTGTGCCCAATGTAGATGGGTTGTGTGAGTTGATTCTCCAGGAGGCTTATAGTTCGCGGTACTCCATTCATCCGGATGCCGCTAAGATGTATCAGGACTTGAGGCAACACTATTGGTGGAGGAGGATGAAGAAAGATATAGTGGAGTATGTAGCTCGGTGCCTAAATTGTCAGCAGATGAAGTATAAGCATCAGCGTCCGGGTGGATTGCTTTAGAGGCTAGAGATTCCAGAGTGGAAATGGGAGCGGGTTACTATGGATTTTGTTGTTGGGCTCTCACAGACTCAGAAGAAGTTCGATGCAGTATGGGTGATTGTGTCTAGATTGACCAAGTCAGCTCATTTCATTCAAATAGTGACTACTTATTCTTCATAGCAGCTGGCTCAAGTTTATATTCGCCAGATCGTCCGCTTTCATGGCGTGCCGGTATCCATCATCTTTGACCGAGGTAAGCAATTTACATCGCGACTCTAAAAAATCGTACAACGAGAGTTGGGCACTCGGGTTGAGTTGAGTACAACATTTCACCCTCAGACGGACGGACAATCCAAGCGCACTATTCAGACATTGGAGGATATGCTTCGTGCATGTGTGATATAGTTTGGGGGTTCTTGGGATCAGTTCTTGCCGCTTGCGTAGTTTGCCTACAACAACAGCTATCAGTCGAGCATTCAGATGGCTCCGTATGAGGCCTTGTGTGGGAGGCAGTGTTTGTCTCCAGTGGGTTGGTTCGAGCCGGGTGAGGCTGGGCTATTGGGTACAGACTTGATTCAGGATGCTTTGGAAAAGGTAAAATTGATTCAACATCGGCTTCGCATAGCCCAATCTAGACAGAAAGGTTACGCACATCAGAAGGTTAGCGACGTTGCATTCATGGTTGGGGAGCGGGTCTTGCTCCGGGTTTCGCTCACGAAGGGTGTTATGAGGTTCGGGAAGAAGGGCAAGTTGAGCCCTAGGTATCTCGATGTTTTGAGATTCTTGAGAGGATTGAAGAGGTGGCTTACAAGCTTGAACTGCCACCTAGTCTAGCTGTAGTTCATCCAATATTCCATGTTTCTATGCTCTGGAAGTATCATGGTGATTCGTCTCATGTGTTGGATTTCAACTCAGTCTTATTGGACAAGGATTTGACTTATGTTGAGCAGCCGATGGCCATTTTAGACAGGCAGGTCCGAAAGTTGAGGTCGAAGACTATTACTTCAATGAAGGTTCAGCGGACAATCGAGGAGGCAACTTGGGAGGCCGACCATGATATGCGTAGCCGGTATCCTCATCTTTTCACCACTTCAAGTATGTCTCTATACTCGTTCGAGGATGAATGTTTGTTTTAAAAGGAGGAGGATGTAACGACCCGGCCGGTCATTTCGAGTATTTTAGCCCCGATCCCATATTTATTGCCTCCTCTATGTTGTATTATGGTTATATGCTTTGACGGGGGTGTTTGGTTTTGGTTTCGGATGAGTTTCAAAGTGAAATGGGACATAAAGTCCCTAAGTTGGAGCTTACCGTAGTTTGACTTTTGTGTAGACGACTCCGGAATGGAGTTTTGACGGTTCCAACAGCTCCGTGTGATGATTTTGGACTTAGGAGCATGTACGGATGTCGAATTGGAGGTCTGTAGGTCGTTTCGGCTTGAATTGGCGAAAGTTAGGAAGTTGAAGGTTTGGAAGGTTGGAAAGTTTGACCGGGAGTTGACTTTATTGTTCTAGGGGTCGAATTCCGATTTCAGAAGTTGGAATAGGTCCGTTGTGTCATTTATGACTTGTATGAAAAGTTTGAAGTCAATCGGAGTTGTTTTGGTACGAATCGACATTAGTTTTGGAATTCGGAAGTTCATAGTTTCATAAGCTTGAATTGGGTTGCGATTCGTAGAATCGATGTTGTTTGATGTGATTTTTGGCCTCGAGTACGTCCGTTATGTATTTTGGAACTTGTTGGTATATTCAGACGGGGTCCTAGGCACCCCGGGTGTGATTCGGATCGAATCCGGAAAAAAATTAGACTTAGTCTCATTGCTGAAGTTCCAGCTTTCTGGTGTCATCGCACCTGCGGAGGGATTGGCCGCAGGTTCGGACTCGCAAATGCAAGTGGTGAAGTGCAGAAGCGAAATGAGGCAGCCCAGGTATAGGCTCGCAGGTGCGAACTTTTGGGCGCAGGTGCGCCTTCGCAGGATCGGGCTTGCCTTCGCAGAAGCGGAATTTGGGGAGCAGCCTTGGGCAGGATCGCAGATGCGGTCGTTTCTCTGCAGAAGCGGGCTCGCAGGTGCAAGCAATTGTCCGCAGAAGCAGAACCTCAAGTATTAAGTTTGAACCGCACCTGTGATGGATTTTCCGTAGGTGCAGCGTCGCAGGTGCGACCCCAGGCTCGCTGAAGCGAGGATCGCTGGGCAGAAAATGGGTCTTCGAGGGTTTGAATTTCATTTTCATATTTTGGACCTAGAGAGCTCGGTTTGTGGCGATTTTTCGAGAGTTTTTCAAGGAAAACATTGAGATTAGTGATTCTAACCTGGATTGGACTATATTTCATGAATCTATTGTTGTTTTCATCATTTAATTGGTGTTTTGAGTTGGAATTTTGGGGAAAAATTTGTGAAACTTCTTAAGCTAAAAATTGGGGATTTGAAAAGCGATTTGAGGTCATATTTGAGTAATTCTTGTATGGTTGGACTCGTTATCGAATGGTGTTCGTATTTTGTAATTTTGGTCGGGTTACGAGATGTGGGCCCCGGTTGACCTTTTGAGTTGACTTTTTATTTCTTTGCAAAAATCGTAATTTTATTGTTCGAAATAGTTTCCTATAGCTTATATTTATGGTATGAAGTTGTTTTAGCTATATTCAACCCGTTCGGAGTCGGATAATCGAGGAAAAGGCCTACTAGTGGGTTGAATTAGCGTGTTTTGAGGTAAGTGTCTTGCCTAACTTTGTGGGGGAAAATTATCCCTTAGGATTGGTGTTGGTTTGTGATAATTGTGATATGTGAAAGCCGTGTACGCAAGGTGACGAGTGCGTACACAGGCTAAATGTGGAAATTTATCGGTTTTAGCTATGTAGATTCCTTTCATGGGTTAATTGAGTTATCTTGTCATGTTATATTCATCATCATTTGTCTATTTTCACTTGCTCTACTTGCCTTATCTCTTACTTGTTAATTGCTCTACATGTTTAGTCGAAGTTCTTGCTTCCTTTATTCCATATTCATTATTTAATCGTTGAATTCTTTACTTGAAGTTGTTATTCTTGGAATATCTTGTTGTTGAAATTGGTATTGAGTTATAAGGGTCGTGATTCACATTGAGGCAAAGTGTTCAGTTGTGAAATACTATTCTCGTTGAGTTATTCACTTCCGGTTGTTATTGATACTCTTGTGCATATTGTGGTTGAGCCATGGGCTACTTGTTGTGAAAATACTATTGTTGTTGGTTTCATGGCAAGTTGTGATATTGGGCACTTGAGGTGCGATTTGTGATACGTTATGATATTGATACGCATGCGGTGGTATAAGGTTTGGGGTTGAAACGCATGCGGTGAGATAAGGTGGGCTTGATACTCGTGTTGCTAGCAGGGGAACTACTTAAAACCACGCGGTGTGATAAGGTGGGCTAAAACGTGGGAAGCTATTTAGCCATTTCGTTAAGTAGAAGTTGAATTGTTGCACAGGGGTCAAGCATAGACCCTCTGTAGTCAATCAAAATTTCCAGTTCTCTGCAACAAGCTGCTGCAGAAGAGGGAAACACAATATAAAGTGAGAGGAAAATGCTCACCATCTTTTGGCGCTGATTCAGAGCAACCAATTTATGCCTTTCATACTCATTCCTCATCCCCTCCTTCCTTAACTGCATTCAAAGATAACAACGTCTAGCATTATCAACAACCTGAAGACTTCAAACACAATAACTAGCAATTTCCTCATTAACAGCATGTATTTAGGAGAAGATAATTATGAAAGACACTTATAGTTCTGAAGCAGTAGTAACATCATTCTTTCTCATAATGGTTGTGACAACCATAACACAAGGCGAAGAATAGAGAGTAAAAGCAGCAGTAGCAGCAAACTACCTGCACCAATTCTTTTTCCCGAGATGCCTTCCATAGACGATATTGTTCAGCCTCTTGTTTAGTTTTTTGCTGCAGTTGTGCCTATAAAACCACAGAACATAATTTGCACATAAGTGCTATGAAGGACGTTACTTTTACAGGAGAAATCAAAGGGTAACGCAACCTTCTGCGCCTTGATTGATTGCATTTCATCTTGCAAGCGCTTTGCTGCTTCGTCACTCTCCTGTTTTTGCTTTGAAAGCTGAACCTGGTTCTCTTGTTTCTTCTTAAGATCTTGTATCTGGTAGGTGAATACACATTTAACAAATTACAGAGATAGGCACACAGCAGAAGATTATCTGGTTTTCTAACCCCAAGTAAATGATTATTTTAAAGAACATGGCACAAATGCAGACCTGTGCTTCAAGTGATTTTAGCTTTTGGGAATGCATATCTTGCAATTTCTGGGACAGTCCATCAGAATTAGCAGCACGGTTTTCAACCTCAGCTAATAATCGATCTCTTTCTTGCTGCATCAGGGGATCAGCAAATGAGGAAATCACCAACCCAAACAAAAATGTGGAAATTACATTTCTTCAATTTGTTTTCTCAATTACCTGCACAGCTCTTTTCTCCTCTTCAAGTTCAATAATCTTCTTACCAAAGTGCTGCTTCAGAGCCATGGTGTCAAAGCCTCCATAAAGTTTCATCTCAGACTGCACAGTATTACGCAGATGATTATTATTAGATCATCAGATGTAGCAAAACTAGGAACGCTAGCAACCATTTTTAAGAAAAGGTACCATCCAGAAGAATTGTCGAATCTAGAACAATTTCTCGTGTCCAACTCCATATAGACAATTAATTGCATGACATGACATACCAAAACTAGTACTTCTAAAGCCTCAAAAATAAACAAATAGGAGGTGTCATTGTGGCAGTTCAGCTATCTACAGCAAACGGCAAACTATACAGGTTAGCTCTATGTTCCTCGCACTCTCCGAAAATGTTGCCGGGTGCGTGTCGGATACTCCAAAAATAGTGTATTTTTGGAGGATCCGACACGGGTGCGGCATCATTTTGGAGCGTCCGCACAACATAGGGTTAGCTAGGTCTGAGAATGCTAATCCATAAATTTGGAGTTGTAAAATCAAGCCAGGAGGTGGTTATAGCCTCCCTCTTCCATGTCAAGAGGGGGGAGTGGTGCTAAACTAAGTTCAAAACACTAAGAATTAGAACCTCCAAACCAGTGCTAGGCACTAGACAATCTTTTCGGACTTTTGATGAATTTCTTTAATGAGCCCTTCTATTTTAGAAGTAACTCCAAATAGTGACAGACTAGCACTTGCTGTGATTGTTATGCGAAAAACAGACAACTTTAGATCACATCACTGTGTCCTTGTGTGAAGAATATATTACTCAACCAATGATATGTTTAATTTAAATGCAGTTTAAGAGTCCAGCTTACCTCTTTCTGCTCTAAACGCCTATTTAATTCATTCAATTCTTTGTCTAAGGAGTCTTGCAGGAGAGTGTGTTCCCGCTCTTTTGCTGCTTCTTCTTCCATATCTCCTGGATCACCTGTCAGTCAGTGAGTCCGAATCAAAGCACTGAACCACTTGTAGAGTTGAGTTCTGACATGTGAATCAAAAGTCAAGAGAGGTGTACCATTTTCTTTCACAGGATAACCAGATGAATCAATGCTTTGCAAGCCTCTTTTAAGGCCTTCACTTTTCACTGGAAAGGCACCACTAACCTGAGAGAGAGAGAGAGAGAGAGAATTAGTTATGCGACTAATCAGGATCCTCTTTTCATAAACTGGACTTCATTAATGTAGTGAAGTTAATGTATACTTTAACTTCTGTTTCATATTGCTCAGTGCTAGAGCCTCTTCTGCGGTACTCATTTAGTTCTCTATTTAGCTCTTCATTAGTAGCTTCAAGCCATGCAATCTTATCCTTAAGCACCTGCAATTGAAATCACAAATGAGTTGATTGTCAGCTATTGAAGTATGAAAACTATCCAGGGATCCATTTTAAATTGTAAAAAGACGATCTAAGTCATGGACAACCGTAGAACAACAAAACCACCTGTATTTCATCAGAAAAAGCACCTCCACTACGGGCACAGAGTTCTGCCTGCAAATACTCTAGTTGGTGGCGCATCTTCAGCATCTCATTAGACATTGGATCTCTATTTATCTACAAAATGTTCAAAGAGAGGTACTTAAGATTTCTTTTTCCCAGAATGATGGAAAGACATTGTAAGAAAAGTTTTGTTGCAAAACTTACTACTGGCTTGTTCTGAATATTCCGAGCACGATTTGCATATTTAAGAGTGTTCAGAGTTTCTTCAGCATTTATATCAGCAGGACTAATGCATGCTGGAAAAATGTAAATTAAAGATAAGAAAAAGTAGGTGAAGTGTCCCCTTGTAGGAACAGCAGGACATGCAAGCATCTCAAAGACAGAGAAATAAGAACCACAACTTTGATTAATCCAAGACGAATATACATAACACTGTCATAGATTTCTTCAGCATCTTACTTAAACAATGTTCTTTTCTTGGTCTCTTTTTTAAATGGTAGTAAAAAGACATGTTCACTGGAGATTGAAACAATAAGAGGAAGCAGGTAATTGATATTGAGTGAGGCCAGATAAATATACCTACTGAGGACTCCCAAACAACAGGTCTCAACTTCCTCAATCGGGGTCCATATAGAGACCTACCTGGCCTCCGGCCAAGGAGAAAGGAAAGGGAGCAAAAGTTAGCTAATTCCACCAATTTGCTTCGATAATGCAAAGTCCCACTGGCTTATCTCTCAAGTGAATCAAATTTGTTAACAGTGTGCCCCATCAGCCCATACTAACGATTCAAAATATTAACACCACCATGATTTAGCTTAGAAGTTAAATTGAGCTCAAAGATTGTGCTCAATGTTAGGGCAAACAATCATTCAATCAATCAACTATGCCTCAATCCAAAATTTTCCTCAATCACAAATTTTTTGAGGTTGAATGTATAAGTTCTCTATCTTCATTTTGCTCTCTTCAGGTTTATTTCATTCTGATGCTAAATAATATGTCTTCTAACACAAATATGAGTTCTCAAAATCGTACAATTATTCCTACTTGGAAGTACAACTTTCCAAACAGAAAAAAAGGACTGCTAACAAACACGAGACCTAGTGTTAGTGTAACGACTAACTTTTAATTATAAAACGTTAAAGGAACAAAAGCAAACAAAAAGCAGGCTGAAGATTACAATTATGAAGAGAGAAGATCCATACTTGCTATTTTTAACGAGCAAGATATTGTTCACAGCACATAAAACATAACCCAGTATCAAACTTTGCTAGCCAACTCAATAGGGAAAATCAAATTCTTGACTGTCAAGGGCAGCACAATAGTGAGCAGTGTTAGATAGTTATGGAAATAACCCTAGTCCCACGTGAATAGGAGTAGAATAGATATTGTGTATAGTTATAAATAGGGCTATTGTAAAATACTTAATAGCTAAGTTGCTCCGACACGGCAGCTTAGGTGCCGTACCCGTGTCATCACGACACTAGTATGGGTGTGGATATGGGATTCGTACCGGATTTGGTCAAACAATTTTGGGTACATCTCGAAGATCCGACCTCTAGATCCGCATCCGTGTCAGCACTCGCACCCGTGTCCGAGCAACTTAGCTTAATAGAATATCAATAATATATTTTTCTCCCGTGCATTCTCACATGGTATCAGAACAACCATGAAAATTTATCATTGTGCATAAATTCTAGCAACTTCGGGAAGAGAAATACATCAACCGAAAGCCCCTTTTCCGACAAAAACAGGTATGTCCGCAAGAACAATAGTATCCGTCAGTGTGCAAAAACCAACACTACCAAGAAGTAGATCAGAGTTAGGCGACCAACCCTTAAAAAAAATCTTCGGCAGAAAAGGACTCACGCGCCGCTGGAGAACTTCTCCGGCTAAGTTCCTACGTCAGTGCGTCGGCACGTGAGGCTGTTTCTGGCCAGATTTTGGCAAAACCTCATCAAGTCAGTTTGTTTTCCTCGCAATTCCTTACCTTTAGATTCAGTTCTTTATGTTTCCGGTAGTCCTTTAATCTCATAGTCGTTAGTCGCTTAGCCAAATCACTTAAATATTCTGTTTTATTTCTTAATGACCTTGTTTTTATACATACAGGGCGGATCATTGGAACCGGGCATGAACCAAATGGACTTTATTACCTTATCCTTACAGAATCACATGGACTCACATCTTATCTTCCTTCAACAACTCATCATGTTACTGATTCATCAGATTTATTACATAAACGTTTGGGACATTCCAGTTTGTCAAAACTTCAGAAAATGGTACCTGATTTATCTCACTTGTCCACTCTAGAGTGTGAGTCATGTCAGATCAGTAAGCATACTCGCTCTCATTTCCCTCGACGTCTTGATAATCGAGCAGTCACCTTTCACTTTAGTCCATTCAGATATTTGGGGTCCTAGTCGGGTCGGTTCTACCTTGGGATTCCACTACTTTGTGAGTTTCATTGATGATTATTCCAGGTGCACTTGGATATTTTTGATGAAAAATAGATCGGAGTTATTTCCTATTTTTAAGACCTTCCACGCTGAAATTCAAAATTAATTTGGGGTTTATATCCGCACATTTTGTAGTGATAATGCCCTAGAGTATTTGTCTTCCCTATTTCATCAGTTTATGAACTCTCATGGGATTATTCATCAAATATCTTGTCCATACATATCTCAACAAAATGGGGTAGCTGAAAGGAAGAATAAATATCTTATTGAAATTGCTCGTGCTCTACACATATAATCTCATGTTCCGTTGCGTTTTGGGGGGTGCAGTTCTTACATCTTGTTATATTATTAATCATATGCCTTCCTCAGTTATCTAGAATCAAGTTCCATTCTCTGTCTTGTTTCCCACTCATTTTTGTTCTCTCTTCCACCCCGTGTCTCTGAGAGCACGTGTTTTGTTCCTTACTCCAGGAAAAAATAAGTTAACTCCTCATGCTCTTAAGTGCATATTTCTAGGTTACTCGAGAACGCAAAAGGAATATCGATGCTATTCACCTCACCTCCAATGGTACCTTATGTCTACTGATGTTACCTTCTTTGAAACCCACTAATACTTTACAGGTCCAGGTAATCACTTAGATATTTCTGAGGTGCTACCAGTTCCATTTTTTGGAGATTCAGTCACTATCTCCCATTCATCTTCCTCCTATAGCTCCAGTTCCACCACCTACAGCTCCAGTTCTAGCTCTACCATGTATGGCTCCAGTTCCATCACCGAGTCCAGTTCAACCTTCTACAGCTCCACCACTTCTTACTTATCATTGTTGTTCGCGCCTAGCATCAGGCCCAGCTAATTCACGTCCTCCACCTGACCCTGCTCCTACTGCGAACTTGTCTCCTTCTAGTCAATCGATTGCACTTCGGAAAGGTATACGGTCCACACTTAATCTTAATCCCCAATATGTTGGTTTAAGTTACCATCGTGTGTCATCACCCCATTATGCGTTTGTATCATCTTAGTCTTTTGTCTCCATCCCTAAGTCTATAGGTGAAACACTGCCTTATCCAGGATGGCAACATGCTATGATTGACGAGATGTATGCTTTACATACGAGTTGGGAGCTTGTTCCTCTTCCTTCGGGTAAATTTATTGTTGGTTATCATTGGGTGTATGCAGTCAAAGTTGGTCCAAATAGACAGGTTGATCGACTTAAGGTTCGTCTTATTGCTAAAGGGTATACTCAGATATTTGGGCTCGATTACAGCGGTACTTTCTCTCCCATGGCTAAAATAGCATCAGTCTGCCTTTTCTATCCATGGCTGTTGTTCGCCATTGACCTCTCTATCAGTTGGACATTAAGAATGCTTTTCTTTATGGTGATCTTGAGGATGAGGTTTATATGGAGCAACCACCTAGTTTTGTTTCTCGGGGGAATCTAGTGGCACTGTATGTCGGTTGCGTCGGTCCCTCTATGGTCTAAAGCAGTCTTCTCGAGCCTGGTTTGGTAAGTTCAGCACAGTTATTCAGTAGTTTGGCATGATTCGTAGTGAAACTAATCACTCTGTGTTCTATCGGCATTCTGTTTCAAATCTCTGTATTTATCTGGTGATTTATGTTAATGATATTGTTATTACTGGCACTGATCAGGATGATATTACTAAGTTGAAGCAACATATCTTTCAGCACTTTCAGTCAAAGGATCTGGGCAGATTAAAGTATTTTCTGGATATTGAGATCGCTCAGTCTAGCTCAGGTATTGTGATCTCGCAACGAAAGTATGCCTTAGACATTCTGGAGAAGACATGAACGACACAGTGGGAGCCTCTTAGCGATCCTGCAAGATATAGGCAGCTGGTTGGTAAATTAAATTACCCCACAGTGACTAGACCTAACATTTCCTTTCATGTGTGTGTGGTGAATCAGTTTATGGATTCTCCCTGTAATAGTTATTAGGATGTAGTTATCTGCATTCTTCGTGGATCCAGAGTAAGTAATAAAACTCAGTCATATTATCATTGATAGGTCATTGCAACTATATTTGCTTTCGCTAGAACAAAATTTAGAAAATTCACTATAGTTAGATATATCATTGTTCATCAGCATGCTATTGGTGTCATTCTAACGCAAAAAGGGCAGATAAACAGGAATTACCTATCATGAAAGTACGACTGTTACCGCCAAGTGAATCCTGTCATTTGCCAAAAACTCTTAGTGGATGAAGTGTGCAAATAACTTCAATAGACACAGTGGAAATGACTCAACAAGGAAAAAACAAAATCTAAGTGTTTTTTAAAAGATGAAGACAAAACAAATCCTCAAATAATTAAGTTCTGTTGACCATGTAATAATACCAAAGTTTGTTCACAACTTTCTGCTGATAATTCAATTAAGTGTGGCAGTGTTGGTTTTCTGATCTTTCCTTTTTACTGAGAAGTCTCTTTTTTATTGGCAAATGTAATTCATTGCAGCAACAAATAAGTGCTTTATAATACTTAAAGATAGTGACATTACAGATTATGTGATGAACACAGAAAACCAACCATGGCCTCAATGACACTCTTTACTGAGTACACTCGTAACAGAATTTTGTCACTTTACTTATCACTTCTTCCGTCCCAGAAAAAATGGTGGGGTTTGCCAAACAAGGGTCAACCATCTCATTTCGGTGTGAATTTGGACATCAATTTTTACCTACATTTTTTTTGTAAACTTTAACTTTCAGTTTAATTTTCAACTTCACTTCAAATGTCTTGCATAACTTTTTGAAATAATTCTAATTAGTACTCTAAATAACAAATTCTGATAGTTAAAAACTATTTAGATAATGTATTGAAAAATCATAGTCAAAGAAATAACAGTTTGAGTCCTTAGATAGTTATGATGCCACAAAGAGTGCAACAAAGGAAGTATTCAAGAAAGACTATAAAGGATTTCAGAACAACATTTCAAAATTTGGAAGTTTAATAACACTGTAACAGGCAGGATAAGAATTGAGTCTATTTAGATATTGAAAAAAATAGTTGACACCATCCACTATCAAGATTGTATTATCAGCAGTATAAAGCTAAATGGTGAAAAGGTTCCCCAAATATTAAGAACAATATCATGAAAAGCTACATAAAGGGAGACACTTTTCTTAAAGTAAACCAAGAGGATACTTCTGTTACCAGCTGGTTTCAGCTATTTTTGACATAGAAAATAATTATTGGATGCTTTTTCGACTTTAGTAGATAGGTTGTATGATACACCTATTACAGGATTCTTAAAGAAAAACAACAAGTTTTTCTCATCTGTTTTTCTGAGAATGGTAACGAAGCAAGTTTTTCTCGTCTCCAATAACTATTCCTCTATGATTTGATGAAAATAAGGAATATTGGAATATCCTTAAAAGGAAAACATGTCAAACCTGCAGGAGCCGAGTGAGTTTACTATCTCGATATGGAACATGAGCACCTTCTCTCTGCTTTTTCTCATCGCCTAGTGCACTAATAACATTTCCAAGTGCAAGAAGGCCTTTATTAATGTGAACTCCTGTTATTGGAACGTCCACCAAGTAACTGTGTCACACATGAGGCATTTTCGAACACATTAAGAGATAACAATGAGAATGAGTACCTTCTTTAAAACGGAGACCATCTGATCCCGTTCTTTTGACTCGCTCTGAACCAGCAAGATCCACCAAATGCAACTTGGCACAAAGATATTCTTCAGTCATGCACTCACTGCTATGGCCATCATTTGAATCCATCGGGTTGAGCTGGCGCATCTGCTCCAGTGTAATGGTGAAGATGGCATGAGACCGACTGACAAAAATGAGAAAAAAGATGAAACAGTTCATAAAATTTTGTACATAAATAATGCAACAGGGAGAATGCGTCCTTCAGATCACTGGACCCATTAAAGAAACTATATGTAGGATACAAGTGAAAGCCTGGATTTCGTGTATTATGCTATTAGCGCACAAGTATTGTACTTTTCTGCCTAAGATTTTATTAAGTATAACTTGACAAGCCTTCCCCCCACAAATAAAAAAGGAAAGCAAATAATTGATGGTGTCTTTCCATGTTATTTTACCAAGATAATAAAGGGCAAAAAAAGAACACACAAGACCATGAGACCATGTTTCCTACCTTGACTGGTTGTTCATGTTTGTACTGCCGGTGGCCCTATTAAGTGATCCTTGCTCCAGGCAATCAGCCATTTCCTTTAGTGTTTTTACACTACGCTCAGTTGATCCTACCAATGTAATAACACCATTTGATGTTTCACGGATCTGTATTGGTGGTTTCCTTGGGCTGGCTACTTTCCCTGTGTGCCCATTTATTGTCTCTGATTTGCTAATAGAATCAGGGTCCAGCAAATCTATTACTTCTTCTTTATGTATCTGCATAAGAGAATAACTAAGTCAAACTGCATGACCGTGCATAGTGTAGCCAACAAAGAAAGTCATAACTGTTTGGAATGTTAGTCATTCTACAAATTCCAAGTGTTGTAAAATATATAGATATAAATAAAATAAAATTGTTCTGTGCCTAACAGATTAAGCTTTTAGATGCAGTGGTCAGATAATTCAACATGGTACTAGAGCAGATAGAGGTCATGTAGTCAAGTCTTACCGCCACTCATAAACAAAGTATTTCCACGTACTTGGTCACAATAAAAAATTCAGGCCTCATGAGAGGGTCGCTGTAAAACATAACATAAATTAACAAAAGTGTCCTCCGTCAATAGCATAAGTTTTTAGATGAGGTGGACATACATTTAACAAGTGGAATTATGGAAGCAAAAAAATGTGTGATGCAGCATTGACTAAAAAAAATTTACATTAGAATGAAAGACCAAATTCCAACTCATGCAACTTTGACGTGCTCGAAAAATGTATAATTCATCAAAACAGTTGTTCTTGGATAGAATTCAGCATCTTTATTTCACTATTCTCTTCTTAGATCCATGGAATGGCCTACATGTTTCTTATCATCGTGAACTATAACATATTACGGAAAAAATGAAGGTTGATGTGTTCACTGTCAAAGCCTCCCAGTATTCCTATATGATCAATTGATTCTTAAGTATAATCTCAAACTTACAGAAACTAAAGACTATCTGTACCTTATGGCCTATTGAGCTATCTACTAGAATTATTGAACGTTTTGCTTTAACGAGCCACTTATTAGGTCAAATTTTTGTTATTTACTGAAATGCTTAGGCACCGACTACGAAAAGAACGGCGCGAGGAGACATGCAGGGGCATGAGAAGGATTCTTTGATATGAGGAAAACAGAAGAAAGGAATGAGTTGGCAAACCTCAATGAAGGATACGTGCAACTGGAATTCTGACTGATGTTTCAAGGTCTCAATCTTGTTAAACAAAGTATTCATAACTTGCAGAACGAGTCCAGTTTGGCCACCATCTTTGAAACCAGTACCCATGGTGTATGTTTTCCCAGAGCCTGTCTGCATTACATTCAAATGTAAATAGAAAGAATATGGAAACAAATGGCTGAAATTGAAAATAGCTAATATCACAGAAACACACATATATTATACGATAAAGGGTATACCTGGCCATACGCAAGGACAGTGGCATTATATCCTTGGAATAAACCGTCAACAAGAGGGGCCACACACTCCTCAAACATTGTAACTGAGGGTGAACCACTGCTCCCATAAACATGATCAAAAGTAAATGAGTGTGAGCCAATTTGCACCTGCAAAGCAGCCATAATGAGCCTTATACTTGCTAGATAATAAAATATGTACATGAAATATAGACTGCAGAAGTGCCTCCAAACTCTAGTAGGCACATCGAGAATTTCTGTTACTGTCTTTAAAACTTAATTACTACATTCAAAGTGCTGGTGCAAGATTTCCCTATTTCCTAGTTTTTGACAATTAAGTCTCCCAGACGTCAACGAGGAAGGATTCGGAGAAGGTACCAGTTATCAATTAAATTGAGGAAAATGTGTAATATGAATGCAGTATAAGCAGAAAGATGGAAGAAATCAGCTGTTGTACAAGAAATATGGTGACACAAAGACAAATTGTGTACTTGCTTGGTCCTGTTGTTGGTCTTAATCTTCACTAGATGAATTGTACTCGAGTTGCCGTGTAATAGAAAATTACAAACTAAGAAAGAAAGAATTTAAACGAAGCCGGATATTTCAAGGAAGCAAACTAAGCTCAGAACATGTGTTAAGCCCCCATCAGAGTCACACTCAGACCAATCAATCAGTCAATTGTCCCTCAATCCCAAACTAGTTAAAGGAAATTGAAGAAATCATTGTTGTGCAAGAAATTGGATTAGTAATCTGCAATTAAGCAGAAGAGTACACTGAATATACCCTATTATAGAAACTACTTATTGTAGTAGTACTAGGCTATTAATAAAATCAGAGTAAAACTCGGATCACATCACCATAATTGCTTGAAATAGGACATGAAGATTCCAGAAAAACATGGTCTTTGAAAGCTTTAAAATCATAATGTGATCCATAATTTCCTTGATAAAGGCATAATATCATCATCAATTTGAAAATAAAAGGCAAAAAGTAAGCTTGCCCAATAACACCACAGCAGGAACATATGTTAAAGAGTCCACAATGCTGAGCCAATAATCACATAAAAAAAACAACTGTACCTGAGGCTTTCCAGGGACTAGAAAGACACAATCTTTGCAACCTTGAAGCTTCTCATCTCCAATAAGCGGCCTAATATGAACTGCCACTTTGACACAACAATCCTCTACACAAGCAGCTTCCATTGAAAATATTTAACAATAGAAGAAGAAAACAGAGTCAAAGGGGAAAGAAAATGTGTTCTTGGCTAGTGAGTTGGAAAACAGTTAGCTGAAATCTTCACAGAAGTGGAGATGAAGTTTAAGGAAAGCCAAGAAGACAGAATGAAAGGTAGTTAATAGTTATTCCCAAATACAGAGAGNAGAAGATGGGACCGTACATGCAGTATGTGTTACTGTTAACTTCAATGACAGCATATGACAACCACCGCTGAGATGTTCTTTCTCTTCTACTTTTGTGGGGTTTGCTTTTTTCTTGGGCTTTCCCACCATGTAATACTAGTACAATAGAGATACGCAAAATGGTTAAAAGAAAACGGTTATTCATCCATATAATTCATTAAAAAATAAATTTGATAATAATTTTTTAAAAAAAGGGTCGAATATGGATAAGAACTATATTATCCATTTAGAAAATGGTTAATCAAATGGATAATTAATGTGTTTAACTTTTATATTTGTAAAGCTTCAAATTGAGGGTTTCTCAAATTTGGGATGCTAGGAATTCTCTCATAAGTGATCATATTCAAGAAGTTATGGATAATATAAATATTCATATTATCCATCGGATAACCCATTTTTATCGGTCTCAAATACGGGTCGGGTCGGATAATTTGTCCATTTTTTAATTACTCATTTTTGACCCAGTCATATCTAACCCGACCCGCCCATTTCCACCCCTTGTAGTACAGCACAACAGCCCAAGCGGTGGCTCAGAGAGAGCAAAGCTCGAGCAATGGATGTAACAAGATTTAAGGTATATACTGAGGGGTCTTTTGGTAGGGTGTATAAGAATAGTGCGGAATACGATGTATTAGTAATGTAGGGATTAATATTGGACGTGTTAGTAATACAAGCATTAGTTATGCAGATATTATTTCTTATCTGTTGTTTGGTGTGTTGTATTAAAAATTATAATGCATTGCACAATTTTTAAGAAAAATAGTTGTTTACAAAAATGCCCTCTATATTCTCTAGCTTTAAGGGACTTTAAGGACAATTTTGTCTTTAACCATACTAATGCATGCATTAATAGCCTTAGGGATCGTTTGGTAGGAGGTATTAGAAAAAATAATGCAAGCATTAGCTATATGCATTACTGATACCTTGTTTGGTACATTTTTTCAACCTGTGTATAACTAATACACTAAAGGGGTCGTTTGGTAGGAGGTATTAGAAAAAATAATGCAAGCATTAGCTCTATGCATTACTAATACCTTGTTTGGCACCTTTTTCAACTTGTGCATAACTAATACTTGTATTAGTTATACATCATACTTGGCATTATCCTATGCATAAGTAATGCATACTTAACTAATACAAGTATAACTAATACTTGTATTAGTTATACATCATACTTGGCATTATCTTATGCATAAGTAATGCATAGAAAACCATGGCATTAGTAATACCAAGGTTTTAATGCATGCATTAGCATGGTTAAAGACAAAATTGTCCTTAAATTCCCTTAAAGCTAGAGAATATGGAGGGCATTTTTGTAAGTAACTATTTTTTTAAAATTATGCAATGCATTATAATTTTAATACACCACACCAAACAATAGATAAGAAATAATATTTGCATAACTAATGCTTGCATTACTAATACACATTATTCCGCACTATTCTCATACACCCTACCAAACGACCCCTAATACATCATACTTGGTATTATCCTATATATAAGTAATGCATAGAAAACTATGGCGTTAGTAATACCAAGGCTATTAATGCATGCATTAGTATGGTTAAAGATAAAATTGTTCTTAAAGTCCCTTAAAGCTAGAGAATATGGAGGGCATTTTTGTAAACAACTATTTTTTCTTAAAAATTATGCAATCCATTATAATTTTTAATACACCACACCAAACAACAGATAAGAAATAATACTTGCATAACTAATGTTTGCATTACTAACTCATGCATTACTAATTATTACATTACTAATACACCTTATTCCGCACTATTCTTATACATCCTACCAAACGACCCCTTAGTATTATTAATGTCATGATTTTCTATGCATTACTTATACATAGGATAATACCAAGTATAATGTAAAAAAGTACCAAATAAGGTATTAGTAATGCACATAACTAATACTTGCATTATTTTTTCTTATACCTCCTACTAGGGGTGTACATAGGCCGGACTGATTTGGATTTTACAATTAACAAACCAATCCAACTGTGTCGGGTTATTAAATCTAAAGACCAAACCAAATCAATAAAACTCGGGTTTTTCAATCTCGGGTTTTCACAATTTTTTGGGGTTTTTTCCTGGTCAAATCTTCGTAGAACAAAACATATAACGTATGCTCAAAATATTTCTTTAATCCTAGTAAGATACAACTATATAAAGTATTTTCCAAGAAAATAATACAAAATATTAAATGTGTCATGGCATTATCCTAAAATATTGAACAATAAAGACAATAAAATTATGTAATATAAATATTGCTAATTAAAAAGCCATAATAAAAATAAAAATAATCTAAAAGTACTTAGTCATGCTAAAATAAATAAATTAATAAGGGGGTATTAATTACATGACTAAACGCTAAAGAAAAATAAAAATAGGTTATGCATTTTTATCTAAATTAATGCAAAATAAAAAATAGATATTCAATACATTCTCGTTCATAATATTGAATTGAATGTCTTTTGTTAGCATTAGTATTGATTTGATTTTGGTTTGGGCTTTTGTTAGTGTCACACCTCTTTTTTTACTACACCCTGTAAAGAGTATAAATATAAGGGAGTTTTTCCAATTAAAGGACAATCGAAACGGGATTTGTTTATTTAAAGATTCAGTCACCACTTGAGATAATTTATAGTGTCCCAAGTCACCGGTTTAAAATTCCGAATCGAGGAAATTTGACCTATTTATGGTCTGCGAACACAGAAATCCGTGTAAGGAATTTTGTTAATCCGGGAGAATGTGTTAGGCATTCCCGAGTTCCGTGGTTCTAGCACAGTCGCTTTGATCATACTTGGCTTATTAAAATTGTTTAACTACTCGTTTTAGAACCTATGTGCATTTAACTTTTACCGCTTTTTAATTAAAAGATTATCTTGAAATGGGTCACGCGTACGTGTACCCATGTTTGGCGCATCAAAAATCATGTCACGCAAACGTGTCCACAATCAATAACGCTTTATTAATATGAAGAAAAGTTTGGCCAAAGTTGCGCAAACACATACTCCGGTTTGGTTTTTAGAAATCGTAATCATGTCACGCGAACGTGTCCATAATTAGGATAGTATATTAAACGTGCATAAGCAAACTCCGTACATTTATCAATTTTATATCTAAATTATTACGAGGGCCATGCAATTGTCATTTTGTTCAGCAGGGCCTACCTCGGTTTATTCTAATCAAAGGATTTCTAAACTAACTGATGAGGGCCATAAGCTAGTTATGTTATCTAATATGGCTCGCTTCCACCAATTAACGAGCCTAATTTACTGAACGCTAAATGCAACTGAGAGTTTCACCCACACTAACCAAAAGGCTCATGAAGAAAATCAATTATTTAAACAAATGGATTGGGCCAACGCAATAAATAACAGAAAAATGGGTCGGCGAGGATAAACAAATCTAAATCTTCGCTGTGAACACACTCAGACTTGGGCCCAAAATGAGCCCGAGTATAATACAAGAGAGGACACCCAAAGACATAGTGTCATTCTCTCAGACCCGACATTAAGCTCTCACTATCCGAACCAAGCACTTTGGTTCAACTTCCCAAATCGACGATTGCTCCAACTCACATAAGTGCCTATCAGTGACACCACATGAGACACGAGAATAAGCCTAACATGTGACAAAATTAGCAGCCAAAAATTATGCCTAACATACTTCACACACTAGAGCAAGAAAAGAGGAAACGATTGAAGTATGTATCAATCACGTGAACTTCGTGGCTAAAACAGTAAGCGCATAAAAACAGGGAGAAAAAGAAGAAATCAAAATGCAGAAAATAAGAATGAAAACCTGAGCGAGAACTGGTTTTAACAGACAACTTTATACAACTTCAGACTAAATTCACTAAGGTAATATCCAAAGATAATTTTAAAAGAGCCACTGTAACTTTATACATCAAGTGTACAACATGTATCCACATCCATGATTATGAGCTAAACATCAAGTGTACCAACTGATTAACCTACAGGCTACAGTCCATTTTGAACATATACTAAAGGCCTAAATGCCTCCAAATCAGTTGTACCTTCATAAGCTCGAATACGAGCTTAACCAAACAGACTGTCATGTAAAACAAAATTCTACTAGGCAAGAACTAAATCAAATATGATGATGAGCAGATAATAGAAACTTAATATTGATCAACATTCATCATCTTGGACTACATGAGCTCACATTTACACTTCATATACAATAGATCCAAAGCATACCTGGATTACAAAAACAAAAGCAGAGGTGGATAATTCAGCAGCAGGATTAACCACAGCAACAAAATCAAACCAGAGATAACTACAGACAACCAACTTTGAACCAAATTCAGGCCAACAGAGGGATCAAGGATACCCAATAATCAAAATACAGCCAAGTTTGAACCAAATACTTGAAAACCAGCAAATTCAGATCATTTTTAACCTCTAGAATCTCAGAAAATTTAATGGAACAGTAAAAGTTTCATTGTTTTTTTTAGCCGTCTATGTTTCTGTATTGGTTTTACTTCCCAAAAAATATTCCCCCCTTGAAAGGCAAGAAATGATGCCTTTATAGGCAAGAAAGCAGGGCAGCCTCGGCTTGCACTTTGCCCCTTTGCTAATTTTCGTTTTAACTTAAAAAACCCTAGCCAAAAATCAGATTTTTCACATTAGTCCCCACCCCAGCTTCCTCAGTCAGTTATAAAAGATTCCCTAGCCTAGATTACCCAAATTATCCCCCCCCCCCCC